CCGTACATTACTAGCATCGATGCGGGCTGCACTTGACCTTTGCCTCACGGACAGGGCCGAACACTCCCTGCGTTGGACGAAACTGAAATTCTACGCTAAGGGCAACAAACCCGAATCTATGCTAGCCAAGCGTCTGCGGACGTTTGATAGTGTCCCAACCCCAATCTCCCTCCGCACCAGGCTGGCCACCCGCACTAGTGACCCCACAAATTTCCTATCTGAATTCCGCCATCATCTTTCCAAGATTTACTCAGCCCCTTCCGCCTCCTCACCCTGAATTACCCTCCCAGATATCCCACAAACCGGTAGGGACCTCATGGAATCGGAAATCTCTGCCATCGAGGTCCAACAAGCCATTAAGGCCTTCAAAACGGGTAAACGTCTTTTATAAAAAACTATCAGAAGATTTATCCCCCCACTTGGCCTCCCTCTTTAATGGCCTCCTAAAGGGTGACTCCATGTCCCCACACATGCTCACAGCGAACGTTGTAATGATACCTAAGCCAGAAAGAGATCCCCACTCCTGGACCAATTACCGCCCCATTTCCTTAATAACTGTAGACGTTAAGATCCTTTCTAAAATTCTCACCTCCCGCCTTAACCAATTTTTAGGGTCCCTAATAAAAAAAGATCAGGTAGGTTTCATGCCATCCAGACAGGCCGGGGACGGGGTCAGGCGAGCCCTACACCTGATGCATTTAGCCAAATTATGCTCCAGAGAAATGATGTTGCTGTCCTTGGACATTTCCAAGGCCTTCGACATGCTCTCTTGGCCGTATCTCTTTGAAGTTCTCCGTTACTGGGGCTTTGGTTCCCACTTTATATCCTGGGTCGCGGCCCTCTATGCCGCACCCCAGGCCAAGCTTAAGTACTGTGGCTTCAAATCATCTCTGTTCCCGATAGCGCGCGGCACTCACCAAGGTTGTCCCCTGTCGCCCATCCTTTTTGCCCTCGAACCATTGGCAGAATACATTAGAACCAATCCCGATATCCAGGGCCTTGAGGTGGCGGGCACTCACCACAAAATATCTCTCTTCGCTGATGATGTCCTCCTGTCCTTGACTAATCCCTTCCTCTCCCTCCCGAACCTCCTTAAAGCACTCTCAGACTTTGCACTCATCTCGGACCTAAGGGTCAACCAATCCAAATCCCAAGCTCTTGATGTCTCCTTGACGCCCGCAACGCTAGCCACACTCAAGCTCTCCTTCCCGTTTACCTGGACCCCCTCTCTAAAATACTTGGGCATCCGCCTGACCCCGACCTATGAAACTCTATACGAAGCCAACATTCCCCCTCTCCTGAAATCCCTCACTAATTTGCTGGTCTCCTGGCAGAGATTTCCCATCTCCAAGAAGGGGGGATCCATGCAGTGAAGATGACCTACCTGCCTAAGTTGCTCTACGTATTTCAAGCCCTGCCGATCCCCATTCCTGGTCATATTTTTCGCATTCTCCAAAGCAGGATACTCGCGTTCATCTGGGGCAACTCCCGTCCCCGTATCAACCGAAAACTGCTATATCGCCACAAACTCCGTGGTGGTCTGGCAGTCCCTGATCTTCGCGCGTACTATACGGCTGCCACCATTGCTCCCTTAGCCCTCTTACACTCAACAACCGAGCTCCCGCTTTGGGCCTGTTTGGATATGGTGGACTGTCATCCCCTGCCCCTCACGTCCCTGCTATGGCTATCCCGGACCGACCGCCCTACTAATCTTATCCCAATACTTAGACACTCCCTGAAGGTGTGGGACGGAGTTCGGTACTCCGGCAACCTGATGTCGCCTCACCTCCCTTTAATACCCTGGCTCAACTTTCCATTATTCCCCCCTGGTGCCAGTGACCTTCACTCGTTCGCATGGTGGTCCCGCAACGATCTGACCACTGTACACTCCCTCATCTCACTCTCAGGTGTGAAATTGTTCCAGCAGCTCCGTACCAATAGATCCATCCCCCTTCGGGAATGGTTCCGCTACACCCAAATAAGCCACTTCATTCATTCGCTCCTGAAAAACACCTCAGCTCCGTTGAGAATGACCCTATTCGAGCACTGCTGCAACTCAGATCCGCACGCCCCAGGTGTCATTTCTTTGATCTACTCTTCTCTGCTAACCTCCACTTCTACCACCCTTGCCCCTTATCAGCGTCAGTGGCATGAGGAACTGGGCAGATCCCTAACTCCTGAGGACTGGCAACATACCTGGTCAGCGATAGCTCGTTGCTCCCGCAACGTACTCGCACTCGAGAACTCCTACAAAGTGATGTACCGTTGGTATTACACGCCTGCCCGTCTGGCGAAATACATTCCCTCCTACTCTCCGCACTGCTTCCGGGGCTGTGGCGCGTCGGGTACCATGATCCACATCTGGTGGACGTGCCCCCGGGCGGCACACCTCTGGAATCGGGTCTACGATTTACTCAACTCTCTTTTCCAACTCACCTTACCAAAGGAACCGTGCGAGGCATTGCTACTACAGCCAGTTCCGCAGTTGTCACGTTACCAGAAACACCTTGTGTCCCACATCTTTGTCGCCACCAAAATGACAATCGCCAGAGCATGGAAAACCCCGACTCTGAGCTTCAGGGAAGTCAAAAATCGCATAGATGATATACTGGTCAACGAGAAACTGACTGCGGTTCAGTTCCAACACCAATGACCGCTTCGTATTTTTTTTTTTCTATTCTGACATCGCTCGTGTCAGAATAAAGAAAAAAAGACACAGCAGTGCTTCTCTCCTGGGTGGCCGGGAGCGGGAGTTTTTTTTTTCACAGCAGCAGAGCCGCCGGACAATAGGAAACTATTGGGCGAAGCTAGCTGTCACTGCTAGCTCCGCGCAATCGTTTTCTATTTACTTTTTTAAACTTTTTTCACTCTTTTTCTGTTCTGCTCGGTACCTCTGAGGGACCGAGCAGAACAGCCAAGCTGTTCCGTTTGGAACAACTCTTTAACAGCATAAGGACCCTTTTTTTTTGTTTTTTGCACACATGATATAATTCACATTTTGGGCCTGAAAATTACTTCAAACCCAGAAACATTATAGATTTTCTGAAAGCCAACGCCCTGTAGAATAAAACGGTGGCAGTTGCAAATTTTTATGTTGCACGATATTGGCGCTACTCTTTATCAAACAGAAACATTTTGTGAAAAATGCACTTAAGTTAATTTTTGTGCCCCAAAATGCAACCTTTTTTTGTAAAATATAAATTATGAGGTTATGACAAGTAAATAGATACCCAACATACTCAGGTTAAAAATGACATGAGTCTGTGAAACGGCAACAAAATGCAGTACCCCAAAATGTCCATAGACTATGAGGTCTATTCACAAAGCTACCGAAGGATCTAGCCATAGCTTCGCCTCATCCTTCGGGTAGCTTGGGCCCCAGGACCCTTCGGGTTAAGGGCTGCTGTATTCACTATAGCCCGTACAGCCCCCGAAGGTGGCTCAGGGACTCAGCCGAGCCGAAGGCATATGCTTTGGCTCGACTGAGCCATGGGGAGATTCGAAGCTGGCCGAACGGCCTGCCATTGGCCGGCCAACAGCCTGCTTCTGACAGCTGGGCGGAGCCAGCCGTCATCTCACGGCTGGCTCCGGCCACTTGCAGAGAGATTAGCGTCCCTGGTTACCAAGTAACCAGAGACGCCGTTCTATCATTACACTGAGAACCCGTTGGAGCTGCTGTAAAATCACAGCAGCTCCGCCGAGTTCTGTGTGTAATGACAGAAGGCGTCCTTGGTTACTTGGTAAGAGATGCCCGATCGCTTGTAATATGCGTGCGGGTGTGCGCCCCCCCTCCGTGGCAGCCGCTGCTGGTGATCCTGAGCTCCGCTGTTCCCGGTGTGAGCCCGGGACCAGCACAGCAGCTCTGCGGCCGGAGATCAAACGGAGATCAGTACACGATCTCCATTTGATGTCCTCCTCCTCGTCCGAATGCAGGAAGTGATGTGTATTACATCACTTCCGCATTCCTCTGTCACTCTCCAGTACAGAAACCAGAGAGAAGCTGGTGAAGCAGGTCTCTGCTTCATCAGCTTCTCTGGGGATCCCTGGGTGACATTAGGGGTCTCAAAAACCCCTGATGTCTCCATAAAGAGGACCTATCACTGCAAATTGGCTATCACATAGGGAGCGTGTTTGCTTCCTATGTGATAGCAATAAAGTTAAGTGAAAAAAAAGGTTTCAAAAAATGAAAGTTACAAAAAAAAATGAAAAAATTAAAAGTCCCCCGCCCCCACACGCAAACATACGTCGAGTCCGCCTACGTGCAAAAACTACGTCTACACCCATTGCGCTGCACATGTTACATATCGTCGCGAACTTCGGAGTGAGAGCAATAATTCTAGGGCCATTAATCACTGATAACACTAAACTGATGAGTGGTAAAAGCTTTTAAAGAGTCGGCTATGTTCAATTTTGGGTATGGTAGTTTTTTGCGATTTAGCGGGTGCGCGCAATTTTAAAGCTTGACATGTTTGGTGTCTATTTACCCGACGTGACCCCGTCTTTTATATTTTTACCAAAAAATTGGGTAATAATAAATGTTTTATAACATAACGTAGGGAGAACAGGTTTTTTTTCAATATTTTCTGTACTTTTTTCATTATATAGTAAAAAAAAACCCCGCAGTGGTGATTAAATACCACCAAAAGAAAGCTCTATCTGTCCCCAAAAAATTGTATAAAATTCATTTCAGTACAACGTTGCATGACGGAATAAATGTCAAAGTACCACAGCGCTGAATAATGAAAAATGGCCTGGACAGGAAAACACCCCGGTCAACGGTCAGCAAGTGGTTAAAGTAAATTGACTGACATGTTCAACACACGAATAATGAGATGCACAATTAGTTTTCTGCTCAAGACATTCTTTATTCTTTTAATCCATGTATTGTATATTAAAGTCACATTTCATCAAACAGCAAACTGAGATTACTGACATCTTCCATAACGGAGAGGATCTACTCTCCCAAAACCCTTTAAAAATGCTAATATGCTTCCCTCAAGTTGAGAAATCTACTTAATGTTAAAGTTGCTATTAAAAGTTACAAAACCTCTCTTAAAGGCTATAACACCAGCAGCTGCTGTGGCAAAGAAGGCAGAATATCCAAGGAATCTCAGCAAGCCTTGAGATGAGGGCAAATTTCTTTCCAAAAATGTTGTTGTGATTGGCAGGCCAGGAACATCCTAGAAGGAAACATATACAAGTTTACTTTACTACCGTAGATACCACAAATGTACATATAACCACTGTAGTGTGAGAGCCCACCTAAACCATCTATTCTATTTATACATCACGTATGAGCTAGGGTGCTGATCTAACTGATCACATGAAAGCACATTCTGACTGGAGTGTGGACAGTTTATAGATGTATGTATCCTGAGAACAGTGTCTCTTTAAAGTAGTACTAAACTTTCAAACTTTTTTTCAATAATGAATCCAGATCAAACAAATATACATTGCCCAGCAAAGTATTTCTTTACATTTTTGCACAAGCACTTACAGTCATCATGTTTCCAAACAGCTCCAACTCTCTCAGCTATGCTTCCCTGAACTTCCTGTCCAGTACAAGATCACAAGGGACAGATCAGTCTCCAGTCGCTGCCCATCTACTAGATTGGAGGTTTGAGGAGGGAAGGAGGAGTAGAGAGCTAGGCAGCGGTTCGCCCTGCTCTGTCTGTGTGATTGTAGAGACACACACACAGCGTACTAGCACACAAGGGTGGCTCCATAGGATCCCGCAAGGGAAATGAGCCACCCTAAAACAGGAAGTCAGGACCAGTGATCAGGGGTTTAGCTGATTCTGTAGCAAACTAAACAACAAGCAGTAGCATCCATTGTAAGTGATTTAAACAGCAATAGTTTAAAAACCATATGACTTTAATATCACTTTACAATAAATGTACTATACTTGTCAGTATTGCCCCGAAAAGGAATCATCGCTGTCTTGCAGAGCTAAAGCCAGTGGTAGATCCTTGTGGGTGTGTCAGATACCTGTATCTCTCTGCTGTGGTTCCACCTGCCAGTCAATGTCACTAGTGTGTCCCTCCAGAGGGACATTAGTGATGTGGTGGCATGTGGGTGGAAACAGTGAGCAGCCGGGAATGTACACTTTCCCAAGCATCTAGCTCAGCAAGATGGCAACGATTCCATTCAAAATATGTGGTACTGGTAGGTATATGTATTATTAAAGAGACAGTGTTATAATGATACATATATCTCAAAGAGACCATGCCCCCACTTTAAAAGTTGCATTTAAAATGCATACCTGCAAAGTTTTTTTATTTTCCATAAAAGATTTTTATTCACCAGCAACTTGCTTTGATCACTCCAGGAAGAGTGAGTTAGCTAGCATAGCCCTCTCCTCTTCTAATAGTGTCCAATTACTCTTTGTGCCAGCCCAGCTCCTCTGCCCTAAATATTCCTATTGGAGGGAGCATAGAAGAGGAATAAAATACAGTGTCACTTAAGTGACAGCTCTCTGTCTGCTGGCATCACATCCAAGATGGTGGCACCCAGCAGCACTATCAGGGTTTTTTGATGTCTATACAAGCTAGGCATTTACAAGTAAATAACATGCATAGAACACGATAGATGCAACTATAATGTTATGGGAAGATTGCTCTTGAAATGAATGGCCTGGTGACAGGGTCTCTTAAATGAGAAGATAACTGACATCCTACTGGCATCAGTTATCAAGCCATGGCTAGCACTATATTTACTTATGGATGTGTACTTTGGAATTCTATGAGATTGTCTACTGCTTTGCAATAGCTATTAATAAAATATTAAATTAATCATTTCATTTATAGCTCTTGATCTTACTAGTGTTCTGTTTAATCATTCTTTCCCTTGTTAATTAATTACTGTGTCTTAATAGGAGAAACAGGCATTGACTTGGAAACAGAAAGAGAATTACACTTTGAAATAATTATCGCATTATAAAATGATGATTGTACCAGAAATGATGCCAGCAGTATATTAGAAAGTATATTGAATATGTGCCACCCTTTGAGAGTACTCAGCCTTGACGTATTTGACATAAACAGACCCATTTAACAGGCTAATACTTCCAAACACAATTTGAAATGTAGATAATGGGATCATATGCTAACCAAAGCTTGTTTATTTCCAGTACAAAATTACATTAAGTGTGTGAAGCTATTTAACCAGAAAGTGGGAACAGATTTGAATTGTGATATCTCAGACTGTGATTGGTTAAAGGCATTTTAAAGTGGAGAATGTTTAATTCCCAAGGCACGTAGTAGTAATGAGAAGAAAAATGTACTGTACTCAGTATCATAGCTTATTTTTAAACACATATATTGTGGCTTACAAGTGGTGTTTTATTGGAATATTGTTACATTGTGTGTTTATTTTTAGATTTGTAATGCTTGTGGTATGTCTATGGGGGGTTGTTAGGTTTCTTAAAGACCCGTGGTAATCCCCGGGTACACACAATAAATATGACATTACATACAAAATAGGACAGAGGGCATGACCATTATACATAGTTTCATATAGAGGCGATATGCGAATAAAGACAAAAATTTATTTTATTTCTATATTTCTTTTCCCGGTCAGGAAAATAACACATTATGGCCACTAGATGGAGCTGAGGAGCATCAAAAATATATGCTTCTCAGCGCCACCTACTGACCATTATGTTGCCACTATCTGCTCAGAGCGAATGTACATGCATTTTCACTGGACAAATGTCTCTGCGAATTGTTTATAAAAATACTCCTATTAATTTCACTAATATCCTGAACTAGCATTATTTTAATACAAATTATAAATAATTAGATTAAACCCTTTTACATTTTTAGTTACAGATGTACAAGAATAGGTGCTTTAGATTTTTTTTGTAGCATTTCCCTAAAGTTTAATAATAAAAAAGCTTATCACTTATTATTATTCCATTGTACGAAATGATTTAGCAAAAATAATAAATGTTTTTTTTTTTTCATACCTCAGACACAGGCTCAGGCACCCATATTGTATCTTCTCCAATAAGTCCCATGTTGCACATAACCTGTAAATACAAAATAGAGCCATGTAATAAATCATGTCTGAATGTGTTGTATTTTCCCTGGCTATGTTATTAGTATTATTACACTTAGCCTAGCTTCTATATAATTTTTTTATTATCCCTAGATGAAAACGAGCACTTAACCCTAGCAGTGCGGGGGGTAGGCCAAGATCATTTTTGCCTGTAGTTTAGTCTTTAAAGGAGAACTATGAAGTGAGTGCTTTTCACTCACCTCATAGTTCTAGGCGACCTGTGACAATGAGATTGTCACGGTTCGGCTCAGTAGATCGGGAGGTGAGCGAACACATATCGGCGTTCGCTCACCTCTCTCGATCCTGTCACGGCTCTCTGCCGTGACAGGGGAGGGGCTGGATTCCCCCCTCCCCGCTCTGATCCGCCAGCGCTGACTGGTGGAACGGACGGGGGACTCTGATCCGCCAGCGCTGACTGGTGGAGCGGACGGGGGAGGGGCGGGTACAGCTGGCTCTGCCTCTAGATAGGCAGGGCCAGCTGTCAGTCACGCAGCTGAGTGGATCCCGGCACAATTGTCGGGATCTGCTTCAGCTGCGGCGTCTCAGTATACCGCGAGCAGCAGCTAAAGCTCGCGGTATACTGAGCCTAGGGTGACGGGAGGACACTAGTATGTGTCCTCCCGTTACCCTAAGGAGAACTATGGGGAAAAGCCTTAACCCCATAGTTCTCCTTTAAAGTGTTTATAAACCCCGCCAAAAAATCTATGTGTACATTTCTTTAAAGTAGTATCCCATACCTGTGTACAGGAGCTCTCTAGTATTAATGTGTTTCTTTTTTCTAAATACCTGGTTGATCCTGCCATTGCCATGTTCTTATGCATCAGTGCCAATTGGCTCTGTGGAGCCACAGGAGATGAAAGTAAGCCTCAGGCAGTGATGTCTGCAAACTGTGCCACTGAATTTATGCTTCATCCGTCCACCTTTCAGTGCGGTGGGCAGCAAGTAGACTGAGTCACATCCAGTCCCTCCCATCACAGCTCTCTGCCATGACAGGATCAAGAGGTGAGCGAACGCCGGTATGTGTTCGCTCACCTCCCGATCTACTAAGCCGACCTGTGACAGTCTCATTGTCACAGGTCGGCTAGAACTATGAGGTGAGTGAAAAGCACTCACCTCATAGTTCTCCTTTAACTCTAAGTATTGTCCCAAACATTATTCCTCTTAATTCAGTATGTGTGAAGATACTTTATATGCCCTATGCCATCCTCATGTACATATGTGTGTGCCCGTGAGCGTGGGTTTGTATTAATTTGTGTGTGTGCATAGAAGCAAGGGGAGTTTTAACTTATATTGTGTTTTTTATTGTATTATTCTTTAACTTTTTACTCATATTTAAAGATCTCACTTTCAGAATCCATAGGAAATGCAGGGTGGTTTAAATCTACAGGACCTACCAAAAACTAAAATGTAAGTTTTGGGTGGACTGACATTTTAATACAAAACTAGGTCAGGGTAGCAATTGCAAAGTTTCTTGTAAGCAGGATATGGCTTGTAGGGCCCCTGCAGGGAAACGGTTCAGTCGCCCTCCTCTTGTAAGGTGTTTCTGTGTATATGAAAGCTGCATGGGGCAATGTTATCTATCTTGATAGCAAATGTTTGTCCAATGTTTATAGCTGACAGTGAAATAGTTGTCCAGTTTTAATGTCAACTTGCATGTTGTACTCATTTATATATTTTGCTTCTCTCTGTACCTCTCTGGCTGCCCGTTCTCCAGCTTCTATAGCACCTTCCATGTATCCACTCCATTCTGTTGCAGTCTCAGTTCCAGCAAAGTAAATTTTTCCAACAGGTTTTCGAATAACACTGTAGATACAAAAGTATTACTTGTCATCTGGGAATTTTCTCTTGCGTGGTAATGTAAATAAATTAGAGGTGCACCGAAATGAACATTTCAAAACGAAACCGAAATTTAAAAAATGTCAGGCCGAAACCGAAAATATTTTTTTATTTGAACTTTTTCAAAGTTTTTTTACATTTTATTTTTATTTATTTTTTATTAACTTTTTAATTTTTTCATATCTATATTTATTTATTTATTTTTTATAAATATTTTTATTTTTTACTTTACTTTTAGGGACTCCGGGGAAATATTAGGGTTCTAATCAGACTCCTGATATTTCCCTTTTAAAATAGAAAACAGATTGAGGACACAGAATCCTCAATCTCTTTTTCTGCAGCCCCTGTTATGAATGAACAGGAATCCTCTATGAGTGTTCCTGTTCATTCATAATATGAGAACATTGTGTGTTTACTATAACCACAGTCATGAATGAACAGCAGTTGATGTACATCACTTCCCATTTATTCATAATTGAGCATATAGTAACCATACTCTGTTCTCCCTTATTTACAAACACTCAGCGATTACTGATCACTGATCCATCCTGTCACAGGAGGCTGAGCGAGCGGAGCTCGGCCTGCTGTGCCAAGCCCTGGCTGTCTCCGCCCACACTGCTCTCCTCTGATCTGTGACAGGAGGCTGAGTGGTGTGGGAAGGAGAGACACCGGCCACTCAAAGCGCTCTCCTACCGCAGTGCACGGCCGCCTGTGACAGAATCTCTCCTCCCCGCTGGGACACAGAGCAGTGCCCAGTGGTGAGGAGAGAAAGAACGGATGCACCTCTGCATTAGCCAGAAAATTGCACTTCCGGCATTATGCCAAAAGTGCAACTTTCGGCCGATATATCGGTGCATCTCTAAAATAAATATTTAGAGTTGTTTATATTTAAACTCCCCGTCCAACCCAACTTCCCCAACAAACACATACATACATTTTCCACTGTGGACATTAGAAGAGATTTTACTGCTCCCTGTTAAAGTTTTTGTTTCCTATCTTTTCACAGCAGTGTCAGGGTTCTTGGCAGAACAGGTTGAATAAGATCTCTAAGAGCGGTGATCCCTCTGCTGGAAACTTAAACCTCCCTGGCGGTATTCCTGAGTGTAGCTCGGGGTTACTCTTCCATATCATAAGCGGTAACTCCGAGCTACACTCGGGAAAGCCGCATTGCATTTACTTACCTTGTCCCTTGAGCCGCGCTGTGTTCTGCGGCCGATGCCGGCTTCCGTCTTCTGGGTTCCGTCGCAGGGGGGCGGAACCGGCGGATATTTAAAAAAAAAAAATCGACAAAGACAAAAAAAATTCGAAAAAAAATACCGAAAAATTACATGAAAAAAATAAAAAATCATACCGCCAGGGAGGTTAAAGTGTATTTTTACTTTCGCAACCAAATTAGGATGTTTCCGTTCACATAGCATAAGCTAAAAATATATCTTTAAAAATGCTTCTTCCATTTTAAATTGCTTTTACTTGGGTTAGGGTTGCTTGGCTTCTTAAGGGTTAAAATTTCTACTTGCTTCTCCTTCTTTCTAATGTCAAGAGGAGCTGTGAAGAGTTAAAGGATTACAACCCTGGCTTCTCCATTGTATGTTAATACAGTTTATGAGAGAAACACAATCCTCAAATGTCATCAATCCTGAGGACAGATGCTCAGAAAAACCTACAAGATAAGAAATATTTTCCTAAAAAGTATTTTTCAGTATGCTGTGTGAATAGGAACACATAACATAATATAGAGGTGTTATCTCAAATTTGACTGCAAAAGTGGAAATACACTTTATTAGTGTCTTCAACCAAAATGTATACAACTTTCTCCCAAGATGAACATAAGATTGTAACATAAGATTCAAATAGAAAATGTGTAAATCTTTAGTGAAAGTTGTGTGAATATTGGCTAAAAACATTGATAAATAGACCCCAAAAGATGTAAGTAGCCGATCCGATGGAATATTTAGTCCATGCATAATTCAAATATCAAATTACACCTTTTAACACACAATGCACTGTCCAGACAATCCTAATAAGATCCATAATTGATTTCTCACTTGTCTTAGCTTTTAATTGTAATGGTTGTTCAAAAAACAATATCTTCCACAGGAATATGCAGAAAGTTTCCAATGATAGTAATCAGCTGGGTAAAGTAAATGTGGCAAGCACCCAGATTCCCAACAAATCCTTCTATAACCACTTAAGCAATATCAGTGATCTGGTAAACCTTGTGCCTAGAATCGGCATCTTCCTTTATCCATAACCAACCTACAACACTCTATATTAGCTGAGGAGACGTCACATATACCATCCCGTCACTTCTTATTATGATTGCAAGTTTAGGTGGAATAGTAAAATACACTGCCGAAAAAGTGCAAATACTGATTGTGTAGACCTTCGCTTCTTAAATCAATGTATACAACTTAACACATTATAACAAATTAAAACTAGTATATCTCAGTAAAGTTCCTAACACCCTACCCAGGTTTCGTCAGTTGTAGCTTCCCCAAGAAGCAGCAATATACGTGACCAGTATTTGCACTTTCACCTGCAGCCTATTATACCACTACATCTAAATGTGCTTTCATACTGAGTGCTGGGGTACGGGGTTGTGAGAGGTATTCTTGGCCAAAGTGGGTTGAAGATTTGTTGTGAATAGAGAAAGACGCTGATCCTTTACACAAGCTTACTGGATAAACGATATTGCCCAGTTGACCAGTGAAGGAGGATTTGTTGGAGAATGGGCATGGGACTTATTCTATCCAGCTGATAAGCATTCTGGACAATATCATTGTTAAAATTATTTTGCATATTTGTTTCTGCTAATACATTTTAGAGCTTGAAATTGTGAGACATCAGTTAGGTTTTTAATATGTTGAAAGTTGCTTGAAGTCGGATGTGGTGCTGTAGTGATTGTATGTAATTTCTTGAAGTAAAGATGGCCATACACCTATATATAACAAACACCTGAACAATACCTGCATCCAATCAGATTTTTCAGGTATTTTGACAGCCAGTGGGGCTGACTAGCAAGATACTGAAGCTTGGCCTAGTGGGAGATTCCTCCATCCACAGAGTTTAGCATAGATGGAGGAATCTGTTGCACTTTTTACGTCTGACAATAGAAAATCTGCAGATAATCTACAGGTGTGTGGCCAGCTTAAAGCATTGCAGTATGTTAAAATTTGTAAAATATAAACTTTCATTGAATAGATGCTTCATTTCATTGACTATCACCAGGGCCACCATCAGGGGGGTGCGGTTGAAACCGATGTCAGGGACGATGCCAGCCCACTGACAGTGGAGGAGGTGAAGGAGGCTGGGGGCCCAGCAGCGCCGTCCGGTGCCAGGAGAGGCCGCGCCCCAGCTGCGCCGGTCCAGTGGTGGGAGGGGCTGGATCCAAGCAGCGGCAGCAAAGGAGCTGTGTTTTCAAGGAAAGGGACCCCAACCAGCCCACCTAAGATCCTGCAGGGCCCACCACAGAGAGTCTCAGATGGGCTGTGCAGGATCTATGGTGTGCTCTGCAGGGTCCATCCCAGGTGGGTTTGTTGAGGTCTCAGGTGGGCTCTGCAGGGCCTCAGGTGGGTCCTGAGTCCAGTGCAATACTAAGGTCTGAGTCCAGTGTGTTGCTTGGTCCTGAGTCCACTGCGTTGCTAAGTCCTGAGTCCAGTGTGTTGCTAAGTCCTGAGTACAGTGCGTTGCTAAGTCCTGAGTACAGTGCGTTGCTAAGTCCTGAGTACAGTGCAACGTACTGTAACATACTGTATATGGGAATCATCAAATCATCAGGTTGTAAACTTCTTGATATATTTTAAAATAAAGTAATGCCTTTCAATGCTAAATGGATTTTTTCCACATAAATTATATTGTCTATAGAAGAAAACTACATTCAAAGCATGGTAAATGTGCGATGTACGTATCAACTTAAATACTCTGTATCTTCCTGCTAATGATGAAACAGCAGATGGTATTCTATAGGTAAGTATATTAGCAAATGATAATGACTAGCTAGCACTTTGAAAATGATAAGTATGTTAGTCTATGGAAACAGATGGCACACAGCCAAGCATATTAACAGAGATTAGTTATAACATGTAGTAAATAACTCACAGCATATGCTAATACTGCTGAATAACTTATGCAGTGAAAACAACAAAAATGGATAAATAAATATACTACTACTGCTACCACTACAACTAATAATAATAATAACAATAATTATACATTTACCATATAGCAAAAAAAAAAAATGTACTGACTAGCATTCATGAGCATAGATTTTCAGTATGAACACTTGATGCAGAAATGACAGCATCACATTGTTCAGACAACATCACCATCTCTTATGAACACCTGGAGCCTCTATGCATGTTCCAGTATATGGCCAATATTCTAATGATAGGCCCCAGGATCCCTAGCAATGGCAAAAGGGGTTGGGTAACCTAGGCCCTATCCAGACAGGGGCCCAAAATGACACTGTGCCAATGGTGGCTATGATCATTCCTGGGAACTTGCCAACCTTAGAGTCGCTGAATATTTAACATGATTGCTGGACCTTCAGTTTACCAGCAACAATCTCCAGCCCCAAGGACAGGTTACTTAGAGTAGACACATCAGCATGACTTTGTGCATACTGCTGGAAGAAGTGACAGCAGGGAGTACAATGGGTTAAGCTCTCGCCCGTCCTCTCTAATGGAACAGGTGTTGCTTGCTTATCTTGCCGTTCTCCCTCTGGGAACAGATGCTATTTTCTGATATGCTGGATACTAGTAAATAGGTCCTGCTCCACTGCTCCAAACATGGATCCAACATGTCTGATTGTGACTGAGTTACAAAACGTTATATTGATTTGTCTGGAATGGGTCATAGTGTTTTTAATGGTTGCTATGGACTGTAGCATTCTAATTATTGCTTGCTATCGGCTACGTATAACATTCATGTCGGGTATCACACAGCTTTTAACATTCCCACATTTCCAGTTCACTGCAGCTCATAGTATTTACTTTGTTTACGGTAAGTTCCTTGTTTGTTAAAATGCATGTAAACTCTTAAGCTGGGAATACATGGGTTGCATTTTGACTAATTCAGCATGAATCGTCCAAAATTAGATCCCTGGGTAGCCCTATCCCCTCAACAGAAGTCAATCATTACACCGATAAAGGGACAAGATGACCAATCAGCTGCAAGCACTGTTTAGGTACTCTGCCAGTGGCTGGTGCCGCTGGAAGAACACAGTATACGCAGTGGAAGATTCCTCCATCCATGATGTTAGCACGGATGGAAAATGTGTCTGTGTGTACCCAGCTTTAGGATGAACTTTTCTTATTTGCTCCCTTTTGCTCTGTTGAATACACAATTGAAAGCATTTTCATTTATCTGTTCATTAAGTGCAAAAAATACATGTTAAACATGTCAGAAATTCAGAACTGTCCTGTATCAACACTTCCTGTGTTATCTCAAGGAGACCTCCCAGTTTTCATCTTGCGCTACAGAACAATTACTCCCTATGCTATGGGGATGAAGAGAATGTATTAGTTTAAAACAGCAAACTGGGCAGGGCTGACACCAAGTGGTTGATTTACTAGCCTTATAAAACACACCACAAACATGTATACACCTCTGTAGTGTGTTCCCTCCCAGCATGATCTATGGGTGGAATCTAAACACCTTTGTAGTGTGTACACACCCAGCAGGTGTGTTGTGCAAAGCCAAGCATGAATTGCAAGGTGATGTTGTGTAAATTAGCTCTATGTTGTGTTGCTTGCGTTGATGAATGCAGGAATGTAAATGCATGAGCTAACCATTTTTGTCTAAACTGTGAAGTAGCATTATATATGCATCATGTGCATGATTTTTCCATATATGGCATTAGTGGAAATATGCTTTTAGAGACTTTTTGGTTGATAAATACGTTTTGCTGTGTGAAAATCATACGCACCTGGTGCGTGCGTGTGTTTAGGTTAATAAATCACCCCCCAAGTCTTACATTTTCAGTCAACATAAAGGCATGTGGTGTTATTCCACAAGACAATATTAGGAAATGAGTGCATTTGTGGCACATCAGCAGGTATTTTTATTTACTTAATGGTACTTTAAAAGGATAAAACAGGGAAATATGCATTGCAATTGCAAAGAGGTACTGCATTTCTTCTTTATTTTTCCCTATGTGCTTTAACAGGGCTGATTTCACTAAAAGGTAAAAACCTTATAGCAGACAGTAGTAGATAAACTAAAGGGTGTAAAATTTAAAAATGTATATAATTCTATGTTTTCTTCAAACACCCAGCTCATTTTTGGTAGCTGCTGGAGTGTTACACCACCTAATATTGTTATATTATCTTTCTCAAGATCTCTCTGCTTGAGTTTACTCCTGCACATCTCTCTGGTCATAAAAAAGGGTCCCAGTAGTTTTCATTTATGATCTATAAATAATACAACAAGACTGAAAATACCCCAACACCTAAAATCCCACAGTATGTAGCTGGGAGCTAGAGCTTCTAATGAATGTGTTTAATCATTGGGCAACTCGCCCTACCAGGCTCCACTCTTTTCGTTGGGTGACTTGGCCTACTAGACTCCACTTTAAACATAAGTCCTTTAGAGGTGTTGCATTAGTCTATCTACTAAAATTTACCTCAATCTTCCAGTTTGAATGTGCAGGGCAACTTTGACTGTGCAACTTGGTGTTCTGGGGCTTAAAGGCTTCAAAGAATTTCATGAAACCAACCTTATTCTCCTTATTGCCAGCTTTCAACACATATTCTTCTCTCTCTCCCTTAGCCCTTCCCAAACGTTCTACACACTGCTCCAGGTCCCAACTATACTTGAGGACTACAGAACCCCTACTCTCTACATAATGGAGATGATGAGAGAGGGATGTTATTGTTAGTCCTGTGCCAGGTGCTCCAATATATATGGTTATTGGTAGGAAGTGTGTTACTGGCAGGATTAAAAGAAAGGAAAACAAAAAGTCTGAAAAGAGAAAATGAATGCCGCCACCACATCTTGCTGAATAACATTTTTGTTCTTGAGTTTACATATGCTTTAAAAATGGCAAATTTTATTTGACATCTGTGAAATGCCATTCTGTATACTGAAATTTCTAAGCCTAGAGTTTTTCCCACCTATTGGTTTTGCTACAGTAAGGCACAGTGCCTTGTTTTAAAAAAACAAAACATTATTTCACTCTGTGGAATGGTGGGAAAGAGGATTAGCTTTGCATGTGACTTTTAACCTAAAGAGGATTTTCAGTTTTTATGTAAGGGTTCTTTTTCCATTTTACCGTTAACTTTATATTTATGGTGCACTGTGTATATTTTTTAGTCTGAGTGTACAATCATACCTTCCAAACTGGGTCATGATTCCTGGAGGGAAATATGCCGTGTAACATCCACCTGAGTACTGTTCTTTACACCAGTCCTTTTCTTCATAATGCACAGGCTTTTATAGGGAATAAAACCATATTATGTATTAAATTACATTACGTTTGTCATACATGTAGAGCAATCTAAGAATTATTATTATTATACAGGATATATAGCGCCAAAAGTCTGTGCAGCACTTTTCAAAATTGTACTTCACTTCCTGTTCTGTCAAAATAGACTAGAAATATTTTGAAGTTACCCTAGGGTTGCCACCTTTTCTTCAAGCAAAACCTGAACATTCTAATGCACAGGCAATTTTCTTTTGAGAATATACAGGAGAGAGCGAGGAGAGACAGCCAGGAGACTGAACGAGGAGAGATAGCCAGGAGAGAGAGGCAGCCAGGAGAGAGAATACGAGAAATGTCACCAGCACACCGAGTTCCTTCAAGGATAATGATTCGTGGGTTTATTGAAAACTCATGTCAAAAACACAAACGTTTTTGGGGCCGCACAGGGTCCTTTCATCAGGCATAGCAATAAAGGGACCCTGTGCGGCCCCGAAAGCGCTTGTGTTTTTGACATGAGTTTTCAATAAACCCACGATTGATTATCCTTGAAGGAACTCGGTGTGCTGGTGACATTTCTCGTATTGTGTGCAATTGGCGGCGCCATCCGCAGTCATTCCGAGCACCCTTCCCTGAATACGGGACTTTCGGTTAAGGAGTGCAGCAAGCCTTTTCCATCATAGCCAGGAGAGAGAGGCAGGAGGGTCAGTCAGGGGAGAAAGAGGAGATATAGCCAGGAGAGAGACAGCCAGGAGGGAGAGCCAGGAGAGACAGCCAGGAGAGACAGCCAGGAGACAGAGACAGAAGAGACAGTGAGGGGTATGAGAGGAGAGACAGCCAGGAGGATGAGCGAGAAGAGACAACCAGGAGAGAGAGTAAGGAAAGACAGCCAGCATAATGAGAGGAGAGACAGCCAGGAGAGAGAGTGAGGAGAGATAGCGAGCAACACATCTGCCTGAAGCAGAACCCCTGTGCCCTTCAAGACATACAGTATGTTCATCATTTGTTTCAGACACCTACTTGTTCCCTGAATTCCAGTGTCGTCGTCCCCCCATGCCTTCTCAATGCACTCCAATTTGAATACCAGGACCCCGTGGTTGCCCTAGCCTGCCTCACATTTTGAAATCTTGTGTCCGGGTTTCAGATGGCCTGAAGATGGCCTGAAACCGGGATACAGCACATACAAGATTCAAAACCCGGACTCTCCGGGTTAATTCTGGACAAGTGGAAACCCAACTTACCCCAATGGGGCCACAGGGAGCAATAAGAAGTTGGCAGGGGTGCTAACCCTTCCTCACTGTGTCCAAATGTAAAAAAAATTGTCTAGATTTATCTTTAAGATATTACTAGCAAGCATATGCTAAATACAGAAGGGCAAATCACTGCAGCGGCACAAAGCACAGAAGCATGGATTGGTACAGTGGGGATGAGCACTGAGGCATGTGTCAGTACAGTGGCAGTGAGTGCAGAGGTGGGCGATGGTGAAGTGGGGAGTAACTTGGGGACATGGGGGAGAGGTGGTGATAGCAGGGGGGTAGGCGTGATGGCTCAGTGCTGTGGAGATTTCAGGCATGGTGGTGAGAAGATTGATGCGGCCACAGTGGCAGTTGTGAGAAAGTGTGATGGCATAGTGGTGATGAGTGCTGCCTCTGTGGGATTTCATCTGTAACTTCAGATGCAGTTCCTTCCAGCTAGTGGCAGAAGTCGGGCATGGTGGTTGGTGGTGTGAGTTGCCAGGTCAAGGGATTATAGTGCCTGGGTAAGCTGCAGCATAAACTGGGGGGGGGGGGGGGGTTTGGGG